TCCATCACAAGTTCAGCCAATTTAGGATGCAAAATTTGGCAGCAGGTACTTTCCAAGATATTACCTATAAGATGAAAGCTAGAAACTGACACCCAGTTTCTGCTGGTGGCCTGATTTGCAGCCACGCAGTGTGCATTTCAGGAACTGCAATACATGAAACTCACTTTTGTGTGTATGTTTTATTCCACACATGCTGAGGGTTTGGAATAATAGAAGCTGGGCTTCGACTGTGTGTTTCACGATGCCTTCCAAAACCATAGCTCCGTTTCCTTTTTCCAGCCAACAGAAATTTACATGAATTTTCCATCTGACAGGCGGAAGAAGAGTTGGAAGAGGACTAGACATTGAGCACCTGCCAGCAAACTAATCGGCCTATGACCGATTTGGCCTCGAGGCCCGTCCTGCCTGACCCAACCTATTCGAGCACAAACACCCTGCAGTGCGGCGGGAGACGCAGGCCGAGCGGCCATGTTTTAAAACCAGGGGAAGAACAGCTCGCAACTTTTCTTCCTGTGTTTGAGAATGGGAGAATTTGATTTGGCTTTCAGCAAAACAGCTGAAGCGTCTTGTTTCACTCAGATGGAAAAACTATGGTGTCGACAGGAAACCACTGAATTTCATCACATTCAAATCTTATTATAGAAAGTTTGTAATACCTCAGGATCTAATTTCCTTGTTATGTACAAGTCCAATGAGATTGAAATTGCAGAACAAATGGAAAAAAGAGATCACCCAAGGGATTTTCAGGAAACGTAGGTGCACTTTCAACCTCAGATGAATAATCACAGTCAAGAAATGAACAATGCCTCTCATTTCCAATGCTTATATCCTAGTTATGCGCCTTTATAGAATTACAGGTTAAAGCTGCAGTCTTAAATGTAATTTGTTTGGGAGTATTCCACTAAATATGCACTCTCTTGCTTTTGCATATGAACTAACAGCAGCAAAGGAAAGGGAAACTGTTATCTAATTACCTGTTATATCGGGTTTAAGATTTCCCTTCCAAATGCACAGTGTCAGGCCCAGTTCTATCAGGGTGCAAAGGCACCGATTACAGCCTTGGTTTAATATATTAGAACCTCTGCTGAAATATTAATAGCAAATGTGCCGCAAAGACATGCCATTAATTATACCAAGGAGGTGGTCTTTTGTAAAGTATAACATAAAATAATTGCAACCTAATAAGCAATGGTCAACCTCTGGTGATGAAAAATTAGGCCAATGCAGAAGAGGCAAAAAAAACTGCAGTTCCACTAATGACCACAAGGTGACAAAAGGGAATCAATCTCCATAGAGTCCCAGCTTTACACCATTTAAAAGCATATTTATATCCTGGTATAAAATACCGTTTTGGCCTCTATATAAAGTTTCACCCTTCACAATAACTCTTAGTTCTTTATAACTTATCAACGTTCATCCACTGTTGGTTGGTAGCTGTCCCAACACAATAATTTGGGTCAGTTCACTCTGTATGTGCAGCCTGTTCCATTTGGAGCATTTTAAGGGGCTTATCTGCGTAATATTATGGCTTGCTTTTCTATACAGCACATCCTAGACCTTTGTGCTTAATTTTTGATCAGTATAATTCTGATATTTTATTAAATGATTAGGCCATTTACTGCTACTACTAGGCAATTTAGCATTGCGCCGTACAGTTTGAATGTATCTTGCTAGCCAAGCTTGATAACACTGGCTAATGAATTAGCACTCCACTCTGCATTTCATGTAAGCTAATTTCGAGCTACAAAACAAACAAAAGGGAAAAAAAACAATATGGCGGCACTCAAAGTGCCAACCTGACGCTTTAAAATCGTTGATGTCATGGTGGCTGTTTATTATGGCAATAGCTCTGCTTTGTGGTTGCAATACAACGTTTTTCATCCAGATGTATTTTTATTACTTTGGCAGAAAAGAAAAAGTGCGACTTTCAGAGAAAGGGATCGGTAGTGAATACAGAGGGAGAAAGAGAGTATTGAGTAGAAAAGGGTGGGCAGAAAAATCAACAGTATAAATATTACATGGAAGATGAAGAGACAAGAAAAGAGAGAGCCTCTGGAATGTTCTGGAAAGCAGAGAAAAAAAAGGGATGCTAAGAAAGCACACATATGAAACCACAGTTTTAACCTCCAAATTTATATTCAAAAAATAATTTTTAAAAAAGGCATTATATTTTAGAGCTTGCCACATGGATGAACATAAAGTTTCTGTATTTGCGTTTTTAATCTAGATAAAAGCAGCTGTAGATGGCTATAAACTAGGTGATAATCTGTTTTTGGCAGGCCGCGATCACTTTTAGGTGTCTGCCCTTTTGCACCACAATAATTTCACACACACCTTAACTGATTTTAGGTTTGGAACTGGGCCTGTAGAACCTAGCCCGACATCCGAGGAAAACCCTTTATACTGCAGTAAGGGGGTAGTGGAGAAAAAGCACAGCAGATTCCCTTGGCTTTACTTGTCTGACTCTTTCTGCAGCTGCTGAGTCAACATTAAAATATTTGCAATATCGGTGGTCAGAAAACCACGAACAGCAGGTGGAGAGATTGAAAGAAAATCAGTTCATGCATGTCTGTCTGCCTGACACAGCAGAGCCAAGTCTGAATCAAATTTCATTTGTCTGCTTTCTGGGCCACATGTTTCCAAGCCAATGACCTATCACCTTGTTGCTGTAATCCTTCAACAATGATGCTGCGATCTGGTGCTTCCTCAATCCTACAGTCCACTGCTGACCAGCAGCTGCATGGGTTTATCTTTATGTAGGAAAAAAAATTACACAGACCCTGCAAACTCACATCTTTTCTTCTTTTAGCTTTTCTCACAGCTGTTGTAGCTTAAAGATAAATAAATAAATAACAGTGTTATGAAATCAAAAAATATCACTCAAATTGATTTGGCTCAAATTCAAATGTGTTCATTTTAATTACCTGGATATTATTTAACACAACTTGCCATATATTAGGTTTAATATAGCAATAACTGTGTCTACCATAGGTCACCGGTTTCTTACTAGCTTCATACTAACTTCACTATTATTTTTATTTCACTATTAACTAACCTAGTTAGCCATTGCTAGTAAAAATTTCAACTATTTATACACTAATTTGAACTATTTTGGCTATATACCCTTTACTTTTCATAAAATAATACTTCTAAATTATTAACATAATTAAGTTTTTTTTAAATCAGCCATTAAACCCTAATTTTCATCTACTTCAGTTAAGCTTTTATTAATATTAATCTTTTAATGATTACATTTTCAGCCAATCTATCAGTGTGGTCGATTTTAACCATGCTAGCCCCACGTTTAGCTATTTAGCTATTTAACTTTAACTAACAGTTTCAAACATTTACCCATTATTGTTGTCCATTTCATAATAGCTGCTAAAAATTTTAACCATTTAGCATTACTTTGACCTAAATTTATTTAGTTACAGAAAGTTACAGCTTTTAGTTACATTTTGACCTCTTTTTTTTTAGCTTTTAGATAATTTACCCTTGTAGCCTAACAGTTTTAACCATTTGATTGCTAGCCTTAGCTAATAAGTTAAACAATTTACCCAGTACATTTGACTTCTTTTAACCACAGAGCCTTACTTTTAACTAATTTAACCCTTTAGCCAATAGATTAAGATTTGTTTGACCAGTCGTTACTTAAGCTTGTTCATACTATTTATTTTCACCATTTTGACTCTGCTCGATTGCTAATTAATTCCCATGCACCTAGTATTCAGCGTTACAACTGACAAAATTAGCAATTTTTTCATACTAGCTGACCTACCAGATAATATTTTAATGTGAACCTTGACAACAAAAGTACCTTGAGGTGTACAAATCTAGCAGGTGAATGTCACATTGTATTACATATTCATGGAAGGATCAGAAGCAAATTTGTTATCAGTCCAAGTAAAAACTTCACCAGGCTATTGAATAGACAACATTAAAACAACCTCCTCCTGAGCTTTTTTTACTCTCTACAGTAACTACATAAAACTCCTGAACTAGTGTACAGTATTCATACAGTCTGCATGACCATACCATAAATGCATATTCAAGGCAAGCAACTTGTGTTCAAAATTTATGTGCAAAACCACATTTTAAGTGACCACAACCCACAAATACATGCACACACGCACGCACACTTCCCAGCAACCATCTAGCTAAACCCTTCAATCCATGATGTAATCTCTAAGTGTGTTCAGTAATTACAAGGTCTCGGGTGCTTGGAGCCACCTCAGCCTTATGTAACTTAAGATTCACGTGCCGTTAATTCAGCGAGCGAGATTACAATATGGTTGTTCTAAAGCCTGCTGTGGGACGGTCCAGTATTGCATCCAGCTCCTTGCTAGTGAGCAGATGATGAAGAAAGCTAAAAACATGTATAAACTCTCATTCATAAGAGAAATCAAAATAAACTTTGAGATTGTTTGGCTAGGGATGCAAAATGGCACAAGCAAACTTTAAAACAATATGCATCTATGTCAAGCACATATTTAAGCTAAAGTCGTGTAGGCAGATTTTTGATGCCTCATAATTATAACAGCTATAGCCTGAATTTGATCCCTGCTTTGATCGACGTTTCTTCTTTAAAACATTTCACTGGATTAGATGTACAGATAATAGTCACCTCTGCATAAGCAGGATCAACACAGAGGTGACTTTGGCATGCAAAACAAATATAAACTTTATTCGCAGTGCACTTAATGCTCATATGCTTCAGATAAAAGCACATAGCGATGAGATGCCATCAAAAGCTCAAAGATTGAAAATGGGTCTTGAAAAATTGCAGGAGTATTCATTAAAAGTCAGTGGCCCTGAGCCAGAGGCCCATAACTGGCTTCACTACCAGCCACAATCTCTATGAAAACCTCCCCCGGAGCTTCATCAACAAAGCCTTCACTGAAGAGCTTTAACACGCCAGAGGCTGAAAAGGGATTACTTCAAATCAAAGAACAACAAAAGCATGTACGGTACAAGCGGCGTCTAGGGGCACCAGAACTTACTGGAAAGCTGCTAACATTCCCAGTTCGTCGTCATCATCACACGGCTCCATCCTGTCAGCTGGACAGATGAAGGAAAGATCGGGTGGAGTGAGCGGAATGGTTCTCCCAGCCCCACCACCACCACCACCTCCACCACCAACAGGCTTAGAAAAAAAAGAGCTCCTATCTCGCTCCCTGAGTCCAAGTCCTCCTCTAAAAAAATCTACTTCCTCTGAATCTCTTTAGAAAAAAATCCCCAAACTCAATTTTCTGTGTGTGTGTATGTGTGTTTGCATATGTGTATATCTTTGTGTGTTCCTGTGTTTTTTTCCTCATTCCTAGCTTGGTGCCAAATGTTCCAGCTTAGTGCTGCTGTGCAGCACCGCTGGTGATGGATTTAGCCGGGGCATCTGGGCCAGGGATAAACTCCATTCTCACACACACACACAAATGCACGGACACCCACACACACATGGCATGCACATGAGTGTCATGCGGAATAGCAGCGGACAATGTTGAGACCCCCCCTCACAAAACCTCAACAGTAAGATCACAAGATGTGAGCTTTACAGTAAAGACACACACACACAGACCCACACACTACTTTTGCACTCGCAGAGCATCCGCACAGAGCCGCTGGATCAATGCATGAACAGATGTGTGCCAACTTCAGAGCTGCCACTAAGCGCAGACATCAGCAGCTGTACTTACACATGTGCATGTGTGCGTATCTCTTAAACCTTGCTGCTCCTGGGAAAAGATGCGTGGGACATATAGTAAGCACCTCACTACATTTATGTGTTTGTGTGAGAATCAGTGGCCATGATACAATCCTCTGTGGTCAGAGCAGACGGAGGTCAGCTGTGCCTGTGGGCATGCAGCAGACAGTGTGCGATTAACACAACAATGATGTATACAATAAGGACAAAACATAATAGCAAGCTCGTCCTTGCTGACTCGCTACAGAGGAGAAGCAGGGCCTGATGATAATAAAACCTGATCATGTAAAGTGAGAGACAAGATTATTTCGGGGGCACCATCAAGTGCTGTTTCTTCTTTTTCTCTTTGAGGCAGATGTGTATAAAATCTCCTGTAAAGTTAACACGGGCTGATCTTCAGCATGAGTGTGAGTCTCTGATGTTTTTTTAACAGGGCAAACTTTCTGTTTTATAATTACAGGCCAGTCCATCATTTTACACTTTATATTTCTAATAATAAACATATCTCAGGGATTAAGTGTGCTGCTAAACTTCTTTATACTAATAGAAAAGGGAGTGTCACTGGAGGCCCACTTAAATTAAAAGTGTATTTGGCCACAGCTGAGGGAGTTTGACACCCCTGCTGCAGATCCTACAGATAATCCTCTATTTTGTAAATCTTGGTCAATCAGTGTTTCAGAATAGACTTAATTTTTTATTCAGTAAGATCAGAAATAAGCAATTGAGCCCTTAAACTCAGCGCTAACAACCAAAATACGTTTTCCCATAGACTTTTATAGGACAGGAAGTCGTTTTGCAACCAGAGCTATCGCCATCTGGTGGTCTTCAGATGGAATGCAGGTTCAAGGAACTAATGCACTTTTTTTGTTCACTACATCCATGTTTTAGGCTGTGTATGATGTTGACAGCCACCAAATACTAGGTGTCCTGTGAGCTGAAAAGCATTATATAAGTACCAGTCCATTCAAACTTCTGAGATGTTTGAGATACTGAGATACTTTGTGTTACTTTGTGAGCTGGATGTTGTAGATTCAATTTTAGCTTTCAGTTTATTTAAACATAAAGTATTCATTATACAGCATCATTGCCGAATACTATCAAATAAGAAGTGCATAAGTCCTCTCTCACCAGATTGATGTAGAATGATGTAGTGGTCAGGATAAAATCACATTTAATGGCAAATTGGAGTCGAAAACATCATTGTCATTGGACATTGACTATATTACAATGCAGTGACTTCATATGAGCCCCAGGTGGCAGACTTCAAAAAAGTATACAGGAATAACTACCTGGTCATCATGTCTCCAACTGTTTTTGTATTTAAAGAGGATAATCAAGGCACAAGTTGTTCCAGGGCTTTGCCACGGCGCTACCTGTGGACATCCTTACACACTGGTAAACAGTACTGGCTTTTCAAAAAGTGTATAGCGCCCAAGACACAGGCTCTAGGAGAAACAACTGGTGGCTTTATATGTCAAAACCTGTTATAACAAGCACTACCTTGATAACCTAAGTGATAAATAGGAACTACAGTCTTCTACTTTGTGACATCTAACAGGCTCTTTGAAGTGTTACCAGTCTGATAATCCTGTAGATTTATAATTGCATGTCGTGATGTCCTCTGCGGTCACACTTTGTGGCCGAGTAAATCATTCGTTTAACAGCTGAATTTGGCTTCGGTACACTGCAACATCAGTTTCTGTGTATCGCAATATGCAAATAACTGTTAAACAAGTTGGCAGTGACAGAAAATCATCGATATGTCATTATCAAAGGACAATGAAGTCAGCTTAAGCTGCCTTTTAAGGATGTGGCAGGACAGTTTTGGCACTGTGATGACTGTTCTGCACATTATTCCAAGATATGATGCCATCTCTGCACATTCCAGTCCAGTGAAGACCAGCTCTGTTTGCTGCCTCTTGAGATGCCACCTGCTCCTGACTCTTGGCCAAGGATATCTATAGCCAACACTACAGGGATGTGACTACTGATTTGTATGCAGCCATAACCCTGTTGGTCTAATTTTACACCTAACATAAATATCTGCTTATGCAGTGTATTGCATTGATATGAAATATGAAATATCAGCCAGCTAGCATTTTTCACTACAGATATGGCAGGATCCTTTAATTAGTAAATGAAAGTAACCCTAAACACACATACAGGTGTGTATGTATGTACAAATTATACTGGAAGCATCTCCTGGTCGAAAGACCTCAGCCTTGTCCATCTGGAGGCTTTGTAGACTTTATGTAACCCTGCCTGTTTACTGAGAAAAGCGTCCCCTGAGTAAAGGCACTTTACTTTTTTATCCACTCACTGTCATGAGCTCTGTTTTATGCAATATTATGTGGATTGTCATGGGAGAGCAGATGACGGGGGAAGGTAGTGCAGCGGGACATGCAAAGAGGACAAAATTAGGGGAAGAAGGAAGGAAGAAGGGAGATATGCGGAAGGAGAAGCGATTCAGAGATGACTCATGAAGCAAATTACAGGATGAGTGATCTCATTTCGTCTTTAGGGGAGTAATAATTGGAAAAAATACAATAATGACAATCCCAATTCAGAATCAAAAGTAATAAGCTGTCATCAGTTCTCTTCATTCACATCTCATTCATGGTGTCGTAGAAGAGCTGACGTGACACAGAGCTCAGTCCTGGGTGCCATATTACTTTTTCATTTTAAAAAGAATTTAATCACGCCCTCTCCAATCAGTCATAAAACACCACTAACTAACCAACACATCAATCTGGGACAAAAAAAAACACCTTTTAAAAAGTACACGATTGGCATTTATCTTGTGTTTTATACCAAAGAAAAAAATTTTTGACATAACTCTCAAATTTGTATGCAACTCACATCCAGTCGTGCTTACAAATTCATCTGCTGCTGCAGTGAGGGCACTAAATCAAAGGTCAGAATTTTAAACTCGAATGTTATGCACTGTTGGAGTGATTTGGACATCTCAGCGCTGTGATCTTGTGTTCAAAAAAGTACCAAACCAACCAGATGGAGGCAGGACGCAGTTGAATTTTAAATCAGCCTCGCATCTTTCTGCTGTATTTTTTAGTCAGTTTCATTAGATGTCTCCTTTGTATTATGGCAGGACTCAGTCTGATCAATTCTGTATTTGAAAACCCGCTTAGATTTAAATCCATCAGTCCTTGCCACAGCCCGATTAAAGGAGGAAATTGAAACTTGTAAAAAGAATAAATTTATAATGAATCTCTGCATCACATTACCCTGAATCCCCATTTTCTCTCTTCACATTTCCTTTGTATTAAGGCTGGACCGCAGTCTGGTCCCCTACTTGTTTACATTTTGGGTGTACTCATGGTGCCACGGCAACCATAGACAACTTTTTATGGGGAAAGCGAAGCCTTTAAAGCAAGAGTCCACAAAAAATCAGGTTCACACACAATTCCTCTGGTATATAATGATATTTATCCATCCAGATTGTTTTGGTGTCAGTTCCTCAGTTTTAAATATATATCGCCCAGAGAAATGTCAGCATTGTCGTAAATGTAACGGAACCAGATGGTACTTAGGTTGTGATGCTCAAAGCAACAAAAAGAAAAAAAGAAAATGACATTTGAAAATCTCCACAAAGCCGCAAATCTCGCTGAGGGCAGTTTCACATAGGAACTATTTTCTCTCTGCTCACTACATCCAGTATTAAAAATGAGAGACTCACCACGATGATTTGACAAACATCCGTGCCAGGAATGACTGTATGAACTGTTTGGGACATATTTTCTTTTGTTCTTGCTTAGATTTTGTATCCGTTAAAATATGTTGTTTTAGATGGGTAGGTATATTAAACTAAACCTTCAGCCAAGTTCTTTTCAGCCCCAATTACAAACAAATTCAGATAGAAAATGCTGCTGAACATTTGTACATGAATGGTAAATGGCCTGTATTTGTATAGCGCTTTACTAGTCCCTAAGGACCCCAAAGCACTTTACACTACATTCAGTCATTCACCCATTCATACACTGGTGATGGCAAGTTACATTGTAGCCACAGCCGCCCTGGGGCGCACTGACAGAGGCGAGGCTGCCCAGCCCTCTGACCACCACCAGTAGGCAACGGGTGAAGTGTCTTGCCCAAGGACACAATGACCGAGACTGTCTGAGCCAGGGCTCAAACCGGCAACCTTCCGATTACAAGACGAACTGCCAACTCTTGAGCCGTGAATGCAATTAACTCTCCTCATAACCCTGATCTTCTAATGGAAATGTCTTATTCATTTAGACAGCATGTGCCTAACATGGAGTTTAATTGGCGAGGTCGGGGTCAACAAGGACAGCAGAGTTGTGAGCTGTAATACCAAAACAATGAGCTGAAAGCTGATAAAATGGTGTTTAAAGAGTATGATCACAATATTGTGTGGGCTTGTTACTTTGAGTGATACCTTTCATGTTAGAAATAACCAAGTCACAGTCAACAGCCACTTTATGAGGTACACCAGTTCAACTGCTTATTAACACAAATATTCAACTAGCCAATCACATGGCAGCAACTCAGTGCAACTTGTCTTGTAAACATGGTCAACTGTCTGAAGTTCAAGCTGAGCATCAGAATGGGAAAGAAAGTTAAGTTAGATTAGAACATGGCATGGTTGCTGGTGCCAGACTGGCTGCTCCGAGTATTTCGGAAACTGCTGATTTACACAGTCGTTTATGGAGTTTACAGAGATTGGGCTAAAAAAAGAGAAAATATCAAGTGAGCTGCAGATGCCTGGGCAGAAATGCCTTGTTGATCTCAGGGGAGAATGGCCAGACTGCTTCGAGCTGACAGGAAGACAACTACAACTTGAATAACCCCTCATTACAACCAAGTTATGCAGAAAAGCATCTATGAATGCACAACACGTTGAACACTGAAGCAGATCACCGCAACAGGTGCCACTCCTGCCAGCTAAGAACAGGGAACTGAAGGCAGAATTTGCACAGGCTCGCCAATATTGAACAACAGAGGATTAGAAAATTCATACTTGGTCTGATGCGTCTTGATTTCTGCTGTGAAATTTGAATGGTAGGGTTAGAATTTGGTGTAAACAACATGAATCCTTGTATTAACAGGTGGATGGTGGTTCATGGTATGGGGGATATTTTCTTAGCACACTTTAGGCTCCTTAATTCATGCTCAATCGTTCAGGTAAGTAAATCTCCAAACGTTGATTCTGTTTATAAGATCGGGGAAACCTGCAGTCAGCTGAGACTGAAGAAGTCACTTGGATGAGTGACGAAACGTTTCTCCCACAAAACGCTACGTCCAGATGAACAGAATCACCTTTTGGAGATTTAGGCTCCTTAGTACCAACTGAGCATTGTTGAAGCACCACAGCCTTGTTGTTAGTCATGTCCATCCCATTATGACCAAACTGTACCCATTGTCTGATGGTTGCTTTCAGCAGGATAACACACTAAGTTATATGGTTTATAGAACAACTCAGCTGGCCTACCCTGTCATCAGATCTCAGTCCAACAGAGAGAGCACCTTTGGGATGTGGTGGAACAGGAGATTATGCAGCCAACAAATCTGCAGAAACTGTGCAACACTATCATATCGGTATAGCCCAAAGGAATGTTTCCAGCATTTTGCTGAATCAGGATGGCTCAGAAGGCAAAACACGATTCACAATCCAGTACCAGTACTGTGTTCATAATGGAGGTGGAAGGTGACTGGTTCTATAAAAACACTGGGTTAGGGTTATGGGCAGCTAGAGGATTATCAGTGGTTTGTAGCTTGCCTCCACCAGTGTGTGAATGTGAGAGAAAATAAATCGTGGAATTGTAAAGCGCTTTGAGTGTCTAGAAAAGCGCTATATAAATGCAATCCATTATTATTATTATAATTATTATTATTGTTATTGTTTGTAAGTTTGGTTTCAATTGCATTGGGACAGACATTATTATAGTTTTGGCCTGCTAGCAGGTCTGCTTACTGCCACATTAAATGCTTAATTATCCATTTACTTGGATAATTTACATGAAACATAAATTGCATATGTTCATATTTCCCTATTTTTAACACATATAGGTAAGCCTGCCACCATCCTACAAAGCAAAGCACAGCCTCACACTAAAGTCAGACTCGCATTTTATGTCAAATAAATCACAGAGCTTGAAAGGAGTAGAAAATGCAGTTGCTACAGTAAGATAAGGAGGAGGGATCCAATCAGAGTGTCTCCACCCAACTGTGAAAATGTCTGTCTGCCACACACTGTGCTTGCCTGGAGAGATAGAAACAACTTTCTTCAAAATTCTCCAGCTTCTGCTCAGATGAAATGAGGTGCAAAGTGCATGGGGACACGGAAACACACTGCGATATTTGAATATCTGTGCTGTGCCATACGTGGCTAAAATAGAAATACTTTACCCATCACAAGCACCGCAGGTTCACCGCATTCCACCTCTTAAAAATATATACGGGAGACATAAAAGGGATGAAATGGCACTAAACACTATATCATATCTTACCTCATGGCTTAATGTGCCATCTTTTTGCAGCTCTCTGCCCGACTGTCTCCTAATCCTCAGGCTGCCACCCAGCAGGTCCCAGCAAAAACAATAACCTGAACTGCAGCAAAATTACTTTATGTTCAGGGTCAGTGGGGGTGGTGTGGAAAAGAAAAACAAGATGTTCAAAGTTGAGGAGCAGATGGGATGCAAGGAAGTGAAGGAGAAAAGTGAGCTGAGAAGAAACAGACGTGATTAGGATTGGAGGAAGCTGGGAGTCGAGGGCAGAGGGTCCAGAAGAGTGCTGATGGGGTCAGGTGATTCAACGGCAAGTGGAAAATCTCTTTATCTGCTTTCTTTCCTTACATCTCTGAAGCTCTCTCCGTCTCTGCTATGATTATCATCAGGCTGCCTCTCCTTTTTCCCCCTCACCCTCCCTCTCTCTCTTGCTCTCGCTAAACATCTGGGGATGTGATTATTACTTTTGCTCGGGAAAAAATCCGAACGAGGGCAAAGACATTAACACAGAAACAGTTGCTTATGTTTAGAAAAGGTAATCATATTCTTGTATTTATGTTATATTAATACTATTGTGAGGGTAATAATGTGCATTAGAAAGTCTCACCTTAATTGTTTTCAGCAATTGTCATTACTGTCACTTCCAGCCACTTCCTCCCCTCAACCCCAACCGGTCACGGCAGATGGCCCCGCCCCTCCCTGAGCCTGCTTCTGCTGGAGGTTTCTTCCTGTTAAAAGGGAGTTTTTCCTTCCCACTGTCACCAAAGCTCTTCGGATCATCTAATTTTGGGGTTTTTCTTCTGTATTATTATAGGATCTTCACCTTACATTAAAAAAATGCCAATGACATTTTTGGGGTAACTTTTTAAATGCTAAAATACCACTGATTCAATGTGAATAAGTAGCTTTACCTAAACGAATGATTGCTGTGGAGCAGCTGAGTAGAGGCAAATGGCTTGGCTTAGCAAAAAGATTGATCTTTCTTCAGCAATATGAAACAAAAAATTTAAAAGAAGAGGTCAAACTATGGCAAGAGGAAAAGACCAGGAGCAGAACTGCAGAAATTGGACCAACACTGCAAAGGCTTAAAGCTACAGCGACACATTAACAAGGACTCAGTAACATATCTTAGCAATTTCTTAAAGGTTTTGCAACACTACAACGCAAAGACTCATGGGAATTTAATGTTCATATATAAATAGGAGAATTAGCAGTGTTATTACTGGGTCTTCTTTTCCTTGACACCAGCTGTGAAATGTGTCAATATGTCTACTCTTCTCTTCCGACATTTTTATCACATTTTCATGAGAAACAGGGATCATGGGAGCTCGTTGGACCGTTTTCCAGGACCAGATCAAATGTGTATATCTAACCTTACTGCACGTGGAGATTACTTCTGACTGGATCACTTCCAATTTCCTCCACCCTTTCTGCACAACTTAATCAATTCTGATTGGATCTTGTCTCTCCAGAATATTTCCCTCTCAATTTTATTCGCTGACAAAAGTCTCCATCATCGCTTTTGTCCTTGTGCATTAGTTTATATGTAGTTATCATCTTGTTTTTGTCAGAAAAAAAATGAAGAAGAGTAAATGAAGAAAAATATGATGAAGTTATTATTATTAGTCAATGAAATTTAAATTGTCCGACAGTGGACTCCTCTTTGTGATTATCCTGCTAAACCTCAATACTGCTGACCATAATATTTTATTACAGAGATTAGAGCATGCCGTTAGTATTAAACATACTGTACTGCACTAGTTTGAATCATGCATGTCTATAGACTTCAATTTGTTCATGTAAATTCATTTCCCTGCTATGCCATATACCCAGCTTTATCAATCCATAAATCAGATGACAAGCTGGGTCTGCCAGAAGTTTCCTTCTTTTCAAAGGGATTTTTAATTCCCACTTTCCATACTACTATATAAATAAAATTAAACTGAAC